GTAAGCCGCCCTGAGTCCCCTCAGGGAAAAGGGCGGCCTATAAATCACAAATAAAATCTAAAAAATCTAAAATCTAAAAAGCGGAATACTTTGAAAATTATTTTAAAAATACTACATCCTTCTGGAAATCTGGTTCTAAAAGAATAACAACATGCCATTCTGCCATCTTAAAACTAATTCTGACCATCTAGTCAGCTAAATGGGATGGCAGAGTTAATCATACCAGCTACCTCCTGGTGAATGAACATTTTGTAGGTAGCCAAGCCTAGCAGGATAGCATTTTCACCAAAAATTGCAAGTCCATTTCTTTGTGGCAGTGACTTTTATTAAAGTAATCATGACATATGAACATGAATTCCAAAGAAATTCATGCTGTCTTTTCCTCATCTACGTCATTTATGTCATTTAAAAATGTAACTCTGTGGGTTGTGTATATAGTATGAATTAGTTGATGAGTGAGAGGAGGAGGAGGATGTTAGGAGTTCAACAACATTTGGAGGGAGACAGATTTCTGTCTCTGATTTGCACATTTTTTAGACATGTTTAGGAACGCCTGATGGAAAACATCTGTCACTATTCTTAAGCAAAAAATAAATAATAAAATAAGCTCCCGATATGGATAAGCTCATCTGAAAGTAATTTATGAAAGAGCTTCCCTGAAATTAGAATGGGAATTTTTGATTGACAGATATTTTAGACTACAGTTATTTGCATATGTTACTGCATATTTCATTGACTTACTTCAGAATTAGTAGATAATTTAAAGATACAGATACATATTAATAGAGTTGGAAGGGACCTTGTAGGTCATCTAGTCCAGTGTCTTAAGCATTATATGGAAGATTGTTGTCCAAGAGCAACATAGAGGTTTGTTTTTTGGGGTGGGACTCAGCAGTGGGTTTCACATTTTGTTACCATCGGTTCACTCCCTGCGTGCAAGGGCCCGGCCTTCCGTGCATGCATTTTGCTAGCGCACATGCCTTCACTCATACGCCCAGCCTCAAAAACGTGCCTAAATAGGACGGCATAGAACTGGGGTGAGTGGGTAGGCCCACCCGCGATTTCCATTATTGGTTTGGGTGAACTTGTCCGAACCAGCTGAATACCTCCTCTGGGCGGGACTACTAACAATACTTACCAACATCTGCAAGTTATGAGGGATTTGTGGCATTAGATGCTGCATGGAATTCAATTTTATATATTGTTAGTGAGAAATTCTCATAGTTTGTTTGGACAGTTATATAAAGTAGTCTTTTAAAATAGTAGTTATATAAAATAAAGTAGTAATATAAAGGGAATATCAGAGTCCTTTTGGACCATGAATGAAAAACTTTTGTTCCAACAGCAATGAACAATACATAAGTAAAATGATTTAGTAAAAGTATTATAAAACATCTACAGGGCATGAGAGATTTGTAATATTACTTCTTTCAAAGGCTCCATGGAATTCAGTTGCATGGCAAGAAGAAATTCTCATTATTTTACAAATAAACGTGTGAATACCTTTGATGCCAATATCCAAATTTTCCTTCTTTTTATTTTTTATTCAAATAAACTACTGTATTCATTATCAGGGACTCTTCTTACTTGAAGTGCAACATTTAGTAATTAAAGCATGTCCCGTATCTGGACATAATACAAAATATTGCTTAGTAGTTGACAAAAAATATTAACTTTTCCCCAAAAAAATTGCTTATGCAAAAAGTATGATTAATCTTTTGTGCAGGAGGAGAGAGATTGTGGCAGATCAAAATATAACAAGGGCAAAATGTATAGATCTGCAGTTTTTTCCCCACACTTATTATTGCTGTCCTGGTTTTTCTGAAGAATATAATTAAGCCCTTAGAGCTTTGATACTTCCACAACTATAGAACTTTTTTTCCCTTTAGTAGGTTTTAGAATTTTCAGGGGGTGGGCTGTTATTTAGTGGTAGGACAGATGTGAGATCAACACATTGTTTATTTGCCTGAAAATGATTTGGATAGAGATTTATTTCAGCATATATCAAAGTTGACAAAGTCAGTTTTAATGTGCCCAATTTTGATGACATCCCCCTTATTAGAGTTAATTTAATCAATTAACAGACAGTGAGCGGCTGCTTCTTTAATGACTGAGCAAGAAGTTTATATTCTGCTCTTAATTTCTGTTTACAAAGGTTATAAATAGAAATACACACTTGCATCTTATGGAGGCCTCTATTAATGCAAGTAAGTTGAAAATGTTATTCCAGATTCGGTTTTATATGGTGACAGGCTTTCCTATGAAGCTTTCATGGAAAACCAGGATAAGCATGTCTAAAGGATGCGTGTAATAAAAGAGATGAAGGTTACAACATTTTGTCATACCTGCAAATGTTGAAGAATAAGGAAAGGATCTGACTCTTGCTAATTTTCATAGGTGGAGTGGGAAAGAAACCTTTCTTTTATTCTTTTTAGCACTCATTATTCTTTGGCTTGCTTTGCACATTAAATTAAATTCAGTTTGGTATAATGTTTAAAGCACAGGGCTAGAGGCCTCTGGACAGTATAAGTTCCAGCTTGGGTGTTAGGGTCAGCTGGATATCCCTGGACTCTCTCTTAATCCTAAGAATAAGGTAATGGCAGACCACTTTCAAAATCTTTGCCAAGGCACCTACAGTCACCAGGAATCAATACCGACTCAAAGGCACAGAGACAATGTTAACCCATAGTTAATTCTTATAATTTAGTTATCATGTTGAGCCAAAACAAACACAGTCACTATTACCATTCATTACGTTAAGAAAAAACAAAATAAACATATACTTAATATACCCTGATATATTACTGATTGTAGGAATACAGATGGTACAGAAATAGAATTTGAGAGTTATTGGTAAGCAGACAAAAATAATCATAATAGCAATAGCCCATAAACCTATTTACTGCCCTATAGTGCTTTACAGCACCCTCTAGGCCAGGGGTGTCAAACTCACATCGTCACGGCTTCGTCACGTGACGTAGTAGGACTTTCCCCCCCCCTTGCTAAACCGGGCATGGGCGTCGCCAGCGTGTGACGCATCCAGCCCATGTGATTGGGAGTTTGACAACCCTGCTCTGTTTACAAAGTCAGCATATTGCCCCTCAACAATCTGGTTCCTCATTTTACCAACCTTAGAAGTAAAGAAGTAAAGTAAAGAGCCCTGTCAAGATTGAACTTCAGGCTGTGGGCTGAGTTAGCCTGCAATACTGCATTATAGCCACTGTGTCACTGCTGTTGGTTGGTAGAACATTCCAGACATTATTGGATATGACTACTTAGTTATTTGTACAAATAAAAAGTAAAATTGAAAAAAAGGTTAGCTATTTGGGAAAGTACAAATCCTTACCTTAGAAAAGAGGCTCAATTCCATTTCCAGATTCTCTTAGAAACTTTTGACCAAATTAATCCTAATGCGAGTTATATCCTTTTAACCTAATCTCGATCCTACACTGAATAGAGAATGGTGGATCAGTTTTTTCCTCCACAGTAAAGATGACATGATAGTGGATGAACACAAAAATCTGGCATATATAACCAAGATTGGTTGGGCTCTGATGGAGGTATAATTTTGGTTTTCCATGACACTTTCCTATCAGCTCAAGGTAACATTTCATGTCAATCACAAAACTTTGAAGTGCGATGAAATGCTGTTTGATGTTTTAAAGGTTATAGGAAATAATGTATATAATACATGTCCAATAAGTTGAAATATATTCAAACATACTTATAGTGTCAGCACTTAGTGAATGAAATTATACCAAATGGGTCATTTGTATATGTAGAGTATAGTTTTTGCTCTTGGAAGGGTCTTAATTCTATATTTATTTTAGTAAAAAATATGTTTAGAATTTTCTAGATATCATGTTCTGTTTAAATGGCGTATTTTTATATAACAGTTGTTGAGTTTATAAATTAAGGTGCAACACCTGCTTCAGTGTTTGTTAACTCTATCTCCTTTATTATTTTTTTATCTTAATATAGAAAACTGGTTTTCAAGAAGACCATGAAGCGATCTTGGTCAGAATGGATAAATCTGGCAGGGCATGGCCTGTTAATATTCCGGAAGAAACATTGGATCATGTAGGCAGAAGGAGGAAGAATCAAATGGTGGGTGTTATATTAAATGAAAAGAAGGACTAGGAGAAGCATGACAGTAGTGTTGTGATATCTCAGCAGTTGCCACAAAGAAGAGGGAGTCAAACTATTCTCCTAAGCACCTAAGGATAGGATAAGAAGCAATGGGTAGAAACTGATCAAGGGGAGAAGCAACCTAGAACTAAGGAGAAATTTCCTGACAGTGAGAACAATTAATCAGTGGAACAACTTGCCTCCAGAAGTTGTGAATGCTTCAATACTGGAAGTTTTTAAGACGATATTGGATAACTATTTGTCTGAAGTAGTGTAGGGTTTCCTGCCTAAACGGGGGGTTAGACTAAAAGACCTCCAAAGTCCCTTCTAACTCTATAATTCTATTCTATTCTATTCTATTCTATTCTATTCTATTCTATTCTATTCTATTCTATTCCCTTCCACTCCCCTCCCCTCCATTCCACTCCACTCTCTCTATATATTACTTATTAGTACATATGTATATTAATAAAATAAGTAATATATAGACTACTTCTTATTAGTTTATACTCCCTAAACATATCTAGCATTAGAGCAATAGTTACCCTGAAGCTCATATACCTTAAAAAGCAAATTCTTAACAATTTCTAAAATATCATCAAACTTTCCTTTGTCTCTTTTATTATGACTTCTGTGGAATAGTAGAGCTTGTATCAGCTCATCAGTAAGGGGAATGACGACTTTATCTATTTTCCTCTAGGAACTTTCCAAAGGTTCAAGATTTGAAATGTCGATTTCAACCTTAAACATTTTCTTGAGCTGTTTTGGGAAGGAACAAGGTGTTTCAAATGGTTGGAACGGTCCATTTTGAATAGAAATGCTTTATACATCCCTGTTTTTGCTTTCCCTTTGAAGGAATGATTTGTAAACATGTTCTATGAAAAAATATCTTTAAGATGCTTTTCAATAATTTTGAACAGCTTTTTCTAGATGCCCATTTTGTTGATTATACCAAATATAAAGTTATATTTTACACTCCATGTGTTCTATCAATTTACATTTTGTTGACACTAATTTTCTGAACAGGAAGTCCTTATGATCATAGTGGGACCAGAAAATTCATCATTAAACAGCAGTTAAGAGGTATCATGTGACTACATCCAATTCTATGAGTTTTTCCCCCTTTGGTTGTTAAGTGATCAATGATCATTAACAGAGACATTTCCTGCTGGCTTCCCCATTGACTTTGCTTGTTGGAAAATGTCTGGAAAGGTTCCAAATTACAATCATATTATCACAGAATGCTGCAATCATTGTAAAAGCGATCCAATTGCCAAGTGATTAAATCATGATCATGTGAAGTATAGCAATAGTCAAAAGTTCCAAGCTTGTAAATCAGTTTTTTCAGCACCATCATAAGTTTTGACGATCATTAAACAAATGATCATAAGTCAAAGACTACCTGTAATTTCAATTGGCTTGTGGTAGCATGATTCATAATATTTTTCATGGGTTTGTTTTAAAATAAGTTGGCAATCATATCAACCATTTTGATTTTTTGATATTGATTATTAGATACCTACTCATGTGGATAAGGAAAGAATCCGATATTTTCAAGATGATGATAATTTGGACCTGAAGGATTTGATCAGGAATGAAAAGATGAGTACATCAGAGGATCAAAATAAGCTTTTCATGAGAATGGCATCAAAGGTAAGACTTGACACTCTGAATTCTTTCTAAAAATTAAAAGTACATTTTTGATATTTTAATTTTTTAAACTATTATTTCATATATTCTAAGATGTCTTTAGACTTAATTTAAATTAGATTAGAATTTAATTTTGAGGAAATTAGTTTAGTAGTGTAATATTTTAGATAACAGCTTTCATTTAATAGATTATGTAAGGAAATTCCATTTTTAAGAACAAGAATATTAATTGCTTGTTCTGTGGCATTTATATTTCTTATGTCCCTGAATTTTAGTTTTCAATAGATTTATAATAGGATCCTAAAAATTCAATGCTACAATGCAGTTTTAAAGTAACAAACTCTGTTGTTATAAAAGTAAGATTGCTAATACTAATTTACAGATTGCAGACAGATAAAATCATACTTATACACAAATCTGCTCAGCAGTTGTATGGTTTGTTGAAATCGTGAAATCCGCATTGTAATTTCATAATACAAGCTCCGCCCCTTAGGTATTTGTGTGCAATATTCCAACATAAATACAATTTGATGAAAAATCAATATAAGTGTTCCAATGAGGTGTTTCCTTTTGGTTACTCCAGCCTAGTTTCTCAAGTGTAATTTACAACTCAACTTGGACTCTCACGGCTTCTCTTGCCTGTTTATAATGATAATCAACTGAAAAGAACTGAAGCCACATCTTATGTTGAAAAAAGGGGGAACATGCAGCTTAAATGTTCTCTAATAGCTTATGTGTGCGCTCGATAATGTTGGTTTAATTTATATGTACTCTGTTCTATTTCTGAAGACTCTTAAGTAGACTTCAGAAAAGATTAAAGATACTGAACAATTATTGTGATACTGACCTCTCTCTCGGTCTAGCATTAGTACAATTGGATTGGTAGAGCACACTTGTCTGAATTGTTCACTGCTCCACTTCAGCAGTCTTCCCCTTGAACTAGCACTCCTAACGTACATCGGTACTGCAGAGCCCATTTCAATCTCCAGACAACATTGCTCTTTAATAAAATAACACATTTTTCAAAAGCCAGTATTCAACCTATATTCATCTTAGGTTACCAGCCATTCCACCTCTTCCCTCGAAGATATACTTCCTCTTCCCAATATTCCTCCTAGTTTTTAAGATTCCATCATCCCCAGCAGTGGATTACCCATTTCGTTACTATTGGTTTGTCCAGTGCGCATCTACACACTTTGTGTGCACACACGTGTGAAGTGGGCGCTTGCACCTTTTATGCATGTGCCCGGCCTTCCATGCATGTGCTTTGTTCATGTGTGTGCCTTCCGCACATGTGCCCAGCCTCAAAAGCGTGCCTAAATAGGATGGCATAGAGCTTGGACAAGTGGGCAGGGGTGGGCCACCTATGATTTCTGCTACCAGTTTGGGCGAACTGGTCAAACTGGCTGAATACCACCATTATCCCTTTCCTATTCTCTAATTCTGTTATCTGCTTGCTAAAATTGTGTTGGAATATCTGGGCTGCCTTTGTATCTCTGGCAGATTCACAGAGAGGCATGGCCTCCTGTTACCTGTCACAGTGTGATCCCCCCCCCTCCCACAAGAGTTGTGCTTTTTCATTTGCTGTTCTGCAAAAGCAAAGCAAATGGAAATTGAATTCCTATTTCTTCAAAGTTTGCAGTTGTAAATCAGTGGTCTGAGTTTCAGGGGTGATGGGGACTATTGAAGGTAATTTTACCATATGTGGGCTACAAATTTTTCCATCTTACTTTAAAAGAGCCATTTCATTTTTATGAAAGAGATTGGTCTGAGAAGTAATTTTTCTACTAGTCCTTTTTTTTTTTTTTAACAGTTTAGGAATGGATATAATTTTATATTTAGCTGAATACTTGAAAGAAGGTTAAAAAATTTGAACCATATAAAAACCATTAAGTCTTCTTAATCCTTACAACATCTTAGAGAGAGATGATTAACCCAAAGACTCAGAGTGGGCTTTTTTGGAATAAAGAATTTAAGCTAGTTTCATAGAGTAATGGATTGACTTTTAGCATGCACGGGGGTGGGTGGATGAAAGAGAGAGAGAGAAAGAGAGAGAGAAAGGGAGGGAGGGAGAGAAACGGGGGGAGGGAGGGAGAGGGGAATTATATTTACATGATATATAACAATGGATGAAATATGTATTCAAATTTTAATTTTAGGGATTTTTGCTTCTAATTCTTTTCCTCATTTTTATTTATAATATCTACAGATCAGGATGACTTACTGTTTGATACCTTCATTTGAGGAAGAAATAAAAATACATTTGTTGATATAAAAGATTAAAATTATGAAAAGCCGTAAAATAATATTTTGCTTAGATCCTGAGAAAAGTGATTCTTCAACCACAGAAAAAGGATGTTAGAATAAAAATAACAAAGGCATATAGGAAAATAATCTTAAAATAATTACTTCTAAATTTTTTTAAAAAAGAAAAAATGAAGTGGGAATAGCAAGTAAACTTGTTTGTGTATTTTTTTTTCTCCTCACCACACCAGGATTATGTCACTAGCCAAGGCCATTTTTGTGTTGGGAATCATCACACATTTTTAAAATGCTAAACTTCCCCAAACTTATCAATTAATAATTATTTTAGTTTTTCTGCCCTCAGGGAAATTTTACATATCTTTCCAGAAACTCTGCCAAGGAACTGTTTTGAATGCCTTAGTTTGTAGGAGCCACTGACCGTATCTATTAGGAACTGTTACCTGTCCAAGTGAATAGATTTTCTTTGCATAATGAATGTGAACATTGAAAGGATGGAGAAATGTCCTTCGGGAAGGCTTACCTGTAATGATTTAACAGCTTATTTAGAAAGAATAAAAGTAAAATATGATTATCCCCATCATCTAATGTGCTATCTTTGTATAATAGAAGAATTTCATCCATTTCCGGCTTCCTTCAGGTTTTTAATTTTTGTGAAGTTGCATACTGGCCATTGCACATTATGTGATTTCAGTTATTCTTCCTTTTTAATTATTAAATCACCACTGGCTATAACTTTTCTTTTGGAAATATTTTCCAGTAGTACTTTTAACTACATTTTGTATGGGAATGATGTATTTCAATTCTGTCAACTAAACTATTAGCTCTCTAAAAACAGTCTTTTCTAACATATCTATAGCAAACCCTCCAGAATAATTGATTTTTCCCCCCAATCTATTCCTTAGCAGTAATTCAGCATCTAAGCAGGAACAAAGATGTCTGATAGAAATCTATAAACTTTAACCACATAATCTAGCCTTTTGATTTTTGGTTTCATTTCATTTCTACAAAGATACTGATTTTATATGTTTGTGTGACAAACTCATTTATTAATACTGAGATTCATCTAATAATACTGATGTTCCATGCAGAAAATTTATTCTGCTTCGATTGTATGAGAGAAGCGAAATTAAATTGAAATAGTTTTGCTTCTTTAAAAGAACTCCTGTAGATATATTCTGTATAACATACCAATAATCTAACAAATAAAATTCACTGACTTTGTTTCAATGGAACAAATTGTTGGTGGATATTCTACATTCAAATTCAGGTTCATACAGATATGATAGGAGTTAAACTAATAAAGACATTTGAGTAATGAAATCTATCTAAGCAATATTTAATTAAGATATAGATTCTCATCTATTAATCGGAATGAAATAACATTACATGCATTTAAACTCTTCTTTTTTGCATTTGTAGTCCATTTGTCTAAAATCTTTTCTGTTCACATATGTTTTATTCTCTGTAATATATTTGGAATCTAACATTCTTGGAATACATATTCTACCATTGAGATTGGATGATGTCAGTGTTGCCATGGCAATTTAAAATCGCATTGATGCAGCTTACACAATCTGTACACCTTTTTTTTTGTTCTGGCAGTTTTTCACGGTAGCTGTAACTCTTGCATTCATGTGGAAGGGGCATCTTGAAGTGGTATTGCATTAGTATTATTACCAGAACACATGTTAGTTCACTAGCAAGAACGGAAACAGCCCACAGAGTTTGACGAATAGAAAACTAGTTAAAAATAATGCTAATAAATTTAGAATCAAATATGTAAGTAGACTTCAAATTACGACATCAGTTGGGATCAGAACATTAGTCACTAAGCTGTGTGGTTACGAGGCTCGATATCATGTGACTTCATCACATACTGTAGCTGTGGCAATCCCTGTTGCCATCATTAACAGAATTCATTTTGGATTTAACCAATTTCATTGTATTTGTTTTGTACAATGACAATAACGGCTATACTATACCATTGGTTGTTAGCTAAGCACCCAACCTGATCCAAGCCATTCCCAGCTTGGCCTCTCTCAGGCCTGACCTTCCATTCTTCTAAGGTAATAGCAATAGCAATAGCAGTTAGACTTATATACCGCTTCATAGGGCTTTCAGCCCTCTCTAAGCGGTTTGCAGAGTCAGCATATTGCCCCCACAGTTTGGGTCCTCATTTCACCCACCTCGGAAGGATGGAAGGCTGAGTCAATCTTGAGCCGGTGAGATTTGAACCACCGAACTGCAGCTAACAGTCAGCTGAAGTGGTCTGCAGTACTGCACTCTAACCACTGTGCCACCTCGGCTCTCAGGTAAGACACTGCCTCCCCTTCAACTCCCCAACCGCCTATTCCCTGCATTCACTGCCCTTTTGACTGCTCTACATCCTGCCTTGTGGGCACCAAGCAGTCCCAGAACCATGCAGCTGTAGGGTTGCTTGTCCTGCTGTAGCTCAAGGGTTCCTCGGTGTGTGATGCTTCTGGGGCTACATGAAGCTCTTCAACTGCGTGTAGCAGAAAGCCATAGCTACCGTAGCAGCGCCATGTGAAACTGCAGCCATGGCAGTCCTTCTAGTGGCACAAAATTACAGTCGTCCCTGCGCTCCAGAGCTCATACTCCATGTGCTCCACATCCCAGCTGACCATCACCATCTTTTTGCGAAGGCCTTCTTTCGTAGCATCCCTATGATCGTGTGATCAATATTCAGGTGCTTAGCAATTGGTTCATTTTCATGACCA